TCTGACCTAAAGTATAAACCGCATGAATCCTTTCCTCCCCAAGTTGCTTTTGGTTGTGGTGCTCATTACAGCAACAGAAAATAAAGCAGGCCACCATCTTCCAGTCATCAAGGACAGAATCAAACGCCGCAGGGGACCGGGGACACTGCCCTATATCCACCAAGAGCAGAGCAGTCTCCTTGCACCTCTGGGCAACACCAGTGTTTCCAAAGGACTGCAGGCCTTCAGCAGTCACTTCATGACAGCATCAAGCTGGGTTTAAGCCTATAGCATCCTTTCCAGGTCAAAGGTCACTGGGAATGCTTGGCTTCCAGGAACCTCGGATCAAAGCTGGGCACAGGAGGAGGGACCAGGGCCTGCTCTCTGATTTCCTAGTGACCTCCCGAGGTCCTCCTAGGATACTAATACTATAGTGTTCCATCAGGCACTTAACAGTGGTTTGCTTGTTGCAAAAGAAACTGAAAGCTGAGGTGATCTTATTTATCTTCACAACTAGCTCTGATCCTGGCAGAGACCCAGGGGCCATCTCAGGCCAGTGGTCAGACTGGGCATAGAGTTGCCCATTCAAACGGCCCCTGCTCCCCATTCCTTCCTCCCTAGCTCCACACTGAGCCCCTGGAGGATGAGGACACCCCTCTTCTTCTAGCTCACTGCACTCAGGGTGCCATGCCCATATTTGTTTAAAGAGTCTTAAGTTATAAACATATCAGAGGAAGGCAAATGGATTGGTCTAGAACTGCTGAAGGCAGCCAAGAGGAACTGCTGGACCTGGTTTGATGAGGGAGAGGGCAGTGGAGCCAGGACCCACAGGACTGAGCCAGTTCATCCCGGTCGCAAGAAGCATGGGGATATGAGTGGGAGGAGCCCATACAGTGGCAGAATAGCCGCCGTGTGCCTGGATGGGCAGGCCCATCTGTTCCAAAGTGAAAGGGCAAGACTATTCTAAGGGAGGATAAGGCAGTCAAACCAGGGGACACTATAGGTGGCACCACGCCCATCACAGGACAAGGCAGGTGCATTCTTTAAACAGTCAAAGGTGGAATCACTGAAGAGGCGGAGGCACAGGCTAGGAAAGAAGGCTTAGCTCTTGAGGGCCTTGGGCAGCTGTAAAAGGCATAGGCAGGGCAGAGGATGCCAGAGGAGGAGAGAGCATGGAGCCACAGTCCCAGTGACCAACCCGGCAGGGCATGCAAGGCTGAGGACTCTCAGTGCAGAGGAGCTGCACCAAAGAGGACATCTTCAGTGTGGAGACAGTAGGTCGGAGTCTGGCAGGTCCACAGAGGCACAACAGGACCAGGTTGGGTGGAACCCAGGAGTGTGCCGAGAAGCCCCAAGCAGAACTGGGTACCTTGAGCTCTGGGTTCCAGCAGGACCAAGGCCAGGCAGCCACATTCACGGAGGCAAAACATTTCAGACGGGGACACTGACCAGCGTCCTCGTGCTGCTGCGCCCTGTGGCTTTTCTCATTTAGAGCACAAACAGCTCAGCAAAGCTCAAGTGGCTGTTTCCATAGTAAGACCCAGGTTCCAGCTGCGGAGATGGGCCGGGACAAAGCCACAGGCAGCTTAGAGTGGCTGAGGAGGGGCGCTTACCACACCAGGGCCAGGCTCGAACAAAGGCTCCCAGGCTTCCCCCTTGCTCAGCTACTGGCTTTTCAACCAACCCAAGGCTGGTTGGGCTGAGGCCCTGAAGGGCTCTGCTTTCCTTACCGGTCTGCAAACCCAGGCAGGGGCCCTCTGGCTCTCTGATGCAAAATGCTTCATGCTTGACATCCCTAAGTGGGTAAGTTCAGAGCTTTCCTCCCCTGTAGATTAGATAAGGGACCAAGTACTGAGGTCTGGGGGCACGACCCCCTCCTCCCAGTACGGAAGCTAAGAAAGGACACAAGAGAGTCCTCGGAGCAAGGATGGAGGGGGCCTAGTTTCTAGAGAGCAGATCGAGCTCCCAGCTCCCTGCTTCTTTAATGGCCTACTTGAGGGCCTCCTGGTCCCCATCTGTGCATCCCGGCAAGCCAAGGAACCAAGGGACAGGAATGTAGAGACGTGGCTGGACAAGCAACACTGCCCCTTGGCCATTGTGAAAATTCTAACTCAGTATGTTCTAAAGGCTTCTAGGTCTGCAGGATGGGAGCCTTCCCTCCTCTCACAGAGGAAGGAAGTCAATTCATGAGGCTCCACCCACAGCACAGACCCCACCATGTCCCTCTGTCACATCTCAGCCAGCTGGAAATAACCTAGGGTACCTACCAACTGTGAGCTTCCCATCCCCAGGCCAGAGGAGCTGTGATTGCTCACACAGGCTAACACAGTACCCTGAGTATCTCAGTCATGCTGGACCCTAGCCTCCAGCAGCCAACGTTAGGGCGTGTGTGGCTCACTGGATACCTGATCTGCCTCATCGGTCTACACCTACAACAGCAAGCCCACGCCTACCCCATTTAAGAGCTGAGAAAACAGACACAGGTTGACACTGCTAACCAAAGCAGAGATGGGAAGTGAAGGTCCTGAGGAGTGGGGCCTTGGGGACACATTGGGTCCCACCCAGGGGCCCTGCAGACTTTACATAGAGTTTGGGAGGACAAGCCCCTCTGGGCCCTCTTCTCTTCTACATGAAATGGCCTAAAGATAGAAGCCAGAATCCCCAAAATTCTCATTGCCATTCTCATTAAAGAAAGCTGGGTACTGTGTGCACCCAGAATTGTCCCCATACACAAAAAGCAGCACCAAACAGAGGCCAAACTACTTCACTAGTTCCTTTGGGTCCCACCCTGGTACAATCAAGAGGGCCCAAGGTCTTCTCCCTGAACTTTGCTGGGCAGGTAATACCAACAAAAGGCAGTGTTAGCAATGCGGTCCCCTCCCATGTCTGCCTGAAGCTGAGATGGCCAGGAGTTGGTAGCAAGATGGACAAAGGGCTGACAGAATGCAGGAGTCATGGGCAAGTCCTTCACCAAGACTGATGTCTTGGCAGAAAGCGACACATGCCTTACCTCATCCCCAGGGCCCAAACCTTTCCCTGGGCATACTAGTGGTTTATTCCTTGGCCTCCCATGAAGAAGAGATGGAGTGAGTAAATGAAAGCCAGAAATGATTGCATGCTAGGAACTTTCAGATACGCCCAGTGCCTAGGAAGAGGAAACACTCTGGGCTGGTGTAGAAGGTCTCTGCAGTGTGGACAGGTGCAGGGTTGCAGGCATGGAGCCTGAGATGTGAACATGCACACCAGGAAACCCAGAGATCTGGTTCTCACCAGGCTAAAGGTTCACCTCAACAGCTAGTGCTGATGACAGGGTGCCCAGGATCAGTGAGAGACTGACCACAGTGGCAAGGTGGAGGCTCTCTTGCTCCACCAGCCTCTACTCTGTGGTGTGAAGGCAAGAATGTTTATGAGCAGACAAAGACCGAGAATAATGCCTCTTGTGTTCTGCGATGGTCCAGGCACTGTTTATACCTCTCATTTACTTCTCATTACGGTCTATAAAGCAGATATAATGATCCCTTCACAGACGAGGATGCCAGCCAGAGGAGCCCAGAGTGGCAGAGCCAGCACTCAACATCCAGTCTTGCCTCCACCCAAAGCCATGACCTTCTAGCCTAGTGCAGGTGCCTGCCCCGACCCACCCCAGGGTTGGCCTGTAGGTGGCCTTTCTGAGAGGTCACTCAACTTCAGGTATATCCACTGGGAAAGCCCACCTTACCCACAGTCTCAGACCAGCCTACCAGACCCAGAACTTACTCGGGTCCTCCTAAACCTTTCTTCTACTTTCCACTGGTTGCCAAGCAGCTATATGAGGATCTTTGAGGAGATTTTAGGAAGAACCTGCCACTTTCGGCCAGGTGACACTTCATCTTTCCTCTTTAAGGGGATAAAAGAGGGCCAACAATGTAGCACAACAGTGTCTGCCTTGCATGCATGAAGCCCACGGTTTCATCCCTTGCACCAAAATTTAAAAAAAACAAAACAAAAGCAGATCTTTAATAAATTCTCATTTGGTGGGCTAGGGGAAAATGCATGGGTACAGATATGTGCTTTGTAGTCACATTGTATACACATGCAGGCACACATCTGGCATGTCTGTTGATGCCTTCACATGCATTCGTGCACGTGTTGTGTGCTCAAACGGGCAGAGGCAGGAAGACACGCAGTGAAGTCCTTCCTTCCTCTGGGAGGAAGAGGAGGCTGTTACATCTCAGTAGCTGTGCTCCAGGAGTGGGGAGCTGGGATCTGGTCCTGCATCTGAACCTGCACCTGCCCATGATGCTCAAGTAAGAGGCTGACCACCGTTGCTGGAAGGTACTTCCCAGCCCCTCCCAAGTAACCAAGCCCGAGGAGGGACGGTACTTCCCATTTTTCCAGGATCAGGCTGATAGTGGAGGGTTGGTTTCTCTTACTGATGAAGCCAGCCAGACAAGAGGACACACTTGAGAACGGAGGCCCATGTCCATCAGGCATCCCTCCTTGGCTTCGTTTGCTGGGTCTACAGCAAGCTGCCCGGCTTCTCTGAGAGGTCCAGCGGAGGTCCGGGAGCAATTTTCCCACAATGGGCTTTTCCATAAGCACTCACTTTAGGGGGAGCTAATGAGACCCTCACCCACCCCCACCCCCGCCAGCTTACCCATTGTCCCTTTGTCAATATCAACAGAAGTCAAGGACACTAAGTGTCTAGGGAAGGGTCTTTAGAAGGGGAGGGACCGCGAACAAAAGGGGTCCGGGGCGAACCCCTCTCCTACGTGGCTCAAGTTGGTTGGGAAGGCAGTGTACAGCAGAGCCTAAAGCGGGTCTCTCAGTCCCCACGAGGTCACAGGACGCAGCGGCAGGTTCCGCCCCCCTCCCGCGACTGTCGCCGTTCACCTGGTCTGCACCCCCGGCAGCCGCGCCTCCCCGGGCCCTGCGCGCACGGCGGGCCGCCAGGATCAGCTCCGTCCGAGGGCTCGGTGCCTGCAGTGGGGACACCTGCTCTTACTGGGGCTCACAGAGGCCGCAGAGGAGGGGCGGGGTACCTTCTGGATGCGTCCATCGATGTCCAGGTAGATGGCCTTGGGCCGGTAGCTTGAGGAGCCGGCCCCCATCGCGCCCGCAGCAGCACTTGGACTTTTTCACCTTACTTTC